AAAACATAATCAGATATTTTATTGACTTTAAATATAATATTGTAATCCTGTTTCTGAGTTATGCATGACAATTAAGGGAAAATCAAATGTGTGTATTTACATGTGAATAGACTAATATATTATTGGTATGGTGCATTGCCTCTAAATCTCTTCTCTCTCTCTCCCCTCCCCCAACCTTACTCTATTCTTCTCTAAGACGTTGCTTCTATCGTTCTCTGACCGCAGGCAGGTAAAAGTTACCCGTAGAAAAATTAGTTTGGATACCTACATAATTATGATCGATAAAGAAAACCTATATTCTTTTCAAAAAAAGGTACCTATCATGAAACAGAAATTACATATATTAAGTGTAAAGTATTTTTCTTATTTATGATATATATATCTAGTTACTTATATGGTGAGCATTCCATTTCTTTCAAACTGAAAAAGAATTGGTATTGGTACACATCATGTAGTTGTGGATGATATTATACTTTTAAACATAACTTTACTATAATTTGAATATATAATGTGCATAACAAAATACTGTCAATCCATACATGAACTTTAATGAATATGTCTATAAGAAAGAGTTAGGATCACCAATACATGTATATGTATATATACATGTATGTGCTAGTAAGTAACAACCTTAATTTAGATATATTGAAGCAGGGTATTGTATGGTGAATTGCAGTAAAAGTGTAAGGTATCAAAATATTAGCCACATTCGTGAAATAGATTTGGTATTACTGCATACACTGTTAGATATTCTGTTTATCACATTTTTTATCAGCAAAAAACTACCCTGAAACGCGCAGCGTAGCATCAAACTGACAATATTTGATCTGGATCCTTTAACCGTTAGTATGTCTAGAAAATCCTACGCGATAAAATGAAGTCATTTGTGCAAAATATCTAATAATACATCAAAACTCCTTATTAAGTTCATTTCATAATTTATTCAAATAAAGTAGGTGTTTTAGTTCAAACTTTAACAATGTATGCCAAACCAATCAAAATTTATTTATTTGAAAAAAGGCCTGTCTTATCAACTCAAACCACTTCGCAATATTGATACGTGAAAGCCCCGAATTTAGAATGGTTGATGTGGGAGAAAATGCAGAGATGTTGTGTCACCACTTATCCCCGCGATGAAACATCAACACCATAAATTGAAGTTATATTTTATCACTTCCAAGATGGCCCTGATTTTTTTATATTTTCTGAAAATTGCTTGGCCACACACTGGACTTAGAAACGCTGACCCGGGTTTCATTTTGTTTGAGTTTCACCCGATACCTAGAATAATTATTGCTCGTCTGCATATTCTGCTGGCTGCCATGAAAATGAAAATGTATTGCTGAATTTAATGTTGTGTTTATCCCAGAGAATTGTCTCTCAATGATTGTTACATATTGATAGATTAGTATAATATAAGTCGATGGTTTTAAAAATCAGAATATTATTATACCAGATAATACTATTTTTACACTTTTTGGACAGGGAGAAGTAAGAATATTTACCAACGGATGAAAACATGACAATTATAATAATAATAAAGAGATGTGTGCGCTGTAGTCAACCCTAGTGCACAATCATGTGATCTCTAATGCACAAGCATATGATCTCTAATGCACAAGCATGTGATCTCTAATGCAGAAGCATGTGATATATAACGCACACGTTTGTAATCTCTAATGCACAAGCATGTGATTTCTAATGTACACGTTTGTGATCTCCGGTGTATGCAAAGTGCTATAATAATGATTATGACAGAAGTTGCTTTTACCTTGGCAGCCTTATATCCTTCCGTTGTGAGACCTTCAAACCAGGAAAGAGTCTAATTGAATTTAATTGAAAAAATGTCTCTCTAAGGTATACCTGTCTTCATATGAAGAGCAACCGAATATCACAATACAGGCTTGAAAGAAAATTTAAATTAAAAAACGAACATGTAAGATTTTTATTTTATGCGTCAAACGAATGATTTTATAGTTTCAATATGTTTGCAATCACTTCTGATTTGCTGAAAACATTTATGAAAACTTGTACCAACAAACCCGTAGTTCTTACTCAAGATCAATTAAAAAATAGGTGCAAAATTGCTGTAAGGAATTGTAATTAATTCTACCACGCATTTAAAGTTGGTTCTTTTTTGGGTTGTGGTTGTGAATCAATAAGTAAAGTATATCTTTATACTAATATTGAATAATTACAAGTTATCGGATTTATATAATAATAACCTAATAATGCTATTAGAGGAGGCGCGTCGTCCTTTTCATGGTGGTCATTTTCTGCAATGAAATGTTTTTATTCGTCGCAATTAAGCAGCCGTTAAATCTAAAATACTTCTGACTGATTAACCCGGGAATCACTCAACTTGATAGTCAAATAACAGGCAACAACAAAGACAATGTATTTTTATCAAAGGGATATACTATTTGCCATGGCATTTTACGCATGTACGGCAAAGGATGCTCAACCCAAATAAGAATGTAATCACTTCACCTGAACTAGAAGAGGAGTATTTCTTTTTTTTTTCTAATTTCTCCGATTTTTATCCTTTCCTCTACTTCATGGAACACCATACATTTTCTATAAACATGAATGAGTTCTCCTGGCCCATTAATTGGTCCCACAACTCTGAACCAAGTGGGAGTCACAATCAATTCCCTTTGCTCAAAGATAATATATTACCTCTTTCAAAATTTCTGTCCCAAAACAAGTTCCCACAGCTAAGTAATAAAATGCACTCAAAAATTGGTCAAAATTGTTTCCGACATTCGTAGCTTTGAAGTGGCCGACGACCGGAGGATGAACGACGAACAACGGACCAAGAACCACAGATAATCATACTTGCCATTGGGCAGTAGAACTAAAATCACTTAAAGGGTCATATGAGGCTTTTATGTAACATTTGTGTCTAAGATAGAACAGTCCCATCTACCAGTCCGTAAATAAGGATCGTTCTAACCAGTTAGGTCTTCTGGCCTGCATAATATCTACTCAATTATAAATCATAGCAGAAAGAAAAACATATCAATATAAGCATATATTTCTATCAAATAAACGTCAAAACACATCGGGATTATTCAATTGAAAGGTGAAGTTATGTCTTCTCTCTAAATAATAAAAAACATCTGTGGTTCTGTTACAAATTTGTGACTTAAACTGATTACTTTTATACAAAATCGAATAAATGCAACATACGTACGTTTTAATGAGAAATCTGGTACTGGAAAAAAAGCCATTGATATGTTCTGCAAATAAACATATTAAATTTATAGAGAGTTTCGCATCATCAAATAGAAAATTGATGTTACTGTTTTGAAAACAAGTTAATGTATCAAACAGCAACTTTAAGAACGTCATGCAATCTGATTGGCAATATAATCAATGCCGAAAATATATGATTTAAAACGATGGCTACATTTATACGAATTGGATATACAGTTATAATTCTAACAGGTTTTTACCAGGGAGTCTTCTGATCAACAGAACTTCGTAGGTTTTGGAGTGGATTTTGGAATTGTCTGTAGCAATAGAAGTGAGTATTTTATTAAAAGTTTTGATCGGGTCGTCGAGATTGGTAAAATTTTCTTAGGTTTGTTTCTCATTGCATATGTGTTGGAATTGGACGTAATCTGCTTTGTGCACATTCCATCGAGGTAGAGGATCATCAAGAGGAGTCCCAACAATCTTAAGAAAAAATGGGAAGTGGTCACTCCCACAAAGATCACTATTTACCTTCCAGTCATAATCAAGAAGAATGGAAGGATGGCATCATGATAGATCAATGTGGATACGAGAGCCTGTAGTAAGGTGTAAATAGGTAGGGGTATTGTTGTTAAAAAGACACAAATTGTTTTTTTTATCTATAAATTCCTCAATACGTCTTCCTCTCTCGCCTGTATTTGGAGAGCCCGACAGGCTATTATGATAATTAAAATCACTGAGGATTATGAATGGTGTTTGGAGCTGGGAAACAATGTTATTGAGTTGCTCACAAGTGAAAACAATACTCGGATGGAAATAAATTGAACAGATCATAGCTAAATGTCACGACACGAATCTAGCAAATGTGACTAAGTTATGTATTACTTCAAATGAATCTGTCTTTTTTTTGTCATTCATCAATATGTCTAAATGTTCAATTACTTGGGCAAGTAATTTTCATTTTGTTTCAGAACGGATCATAATTTATCAATGTAAAAACAATATCTTCAGTGTTAGTAGTGTATTTTTTTTCTTATAAAATATGTATGATTTTACTGACATGTTTATTTTATCTGTATTTCATATCATTCAAAGGCAGGGAACATGATATGATAAGTGTTAGCAGCGAAATGTTTATTGGAAGAAGTCTTATATTATTGACAGGTTTGTTTTAATTGATTAGCCAGGGCTAGAGTTTAAAAACCATCTTAACAATAAATCAAATCTTAAAGAACATGTTTTATGCAAAATAATTAATGAAATGAAAACCCCAATTGATGTAAAAATGTTAAATTTAAAGTTTAATCGAAAACAATATTGCCATGTGTAGGCTGGTGACTTTTGACATCATGTGATTTTATCAAACATACTAAACGTGCGTAGTAGTGGTTGATTTCAGGCCGATTATAATCTGAACGTCATTTTAGAGAAACACAACAACATTAATTAGGCTGCCTAAATTTGAATAATTTTGAAGTGTTATAAAGAATAGTTATTGCCGCTTATTTTGAAAAACTCTGTTTATTATAGCTTTAGAATACACATTTTTGAAGAAAATAGAGATACACAATGTTTCAAATAAAAACAGTGATGTTTATCATACGAATCAAACATACTTACAGGGTGTCTAATACGAGTCGCTGAATTCCCACAATGTACCTAACGTTAGGTTGATATAACGGCCATGTTGTCTATCAGATAGATGAATTGATAGCAGCATAACTAATCTGCCAACTGCGATAACAAATGACGTACAATTACAATTGTAAACAAGACTTCATATATTTAAGTGTCGACAGGTGTCCACTACTTCACCTTGTTGTCATTATGTGTCTATGTAAGTACATTGTAATTGTGGGGACCGTTTAAAAGTAGAACTCAGTTGTGAAATTATTTTAGGGCAACATATCTTCATCTGGACCTGAAAGAGAGCATACACTTCGAGTCAACGCCGTTGGCAAAGGTTTGGTTTAAATTTTCAATTATAGATTATATAATTACGCTGTCCGAAAACATAGTCAAGCCGAATTTGTTATTGCTACAGTAAAATAATCAATGTAGTTTTCCAAAATTTCCTATTGTAGTTGTATTGATAGTCTAATTCTTGCGTTGAACAGGTGATCGACAGGAAAAATAGTCTAAGTATTGGGCACTATTGTTTTGAAAATTGGTAGATCAATCAAGCTTACATGGGGATGACGTCAATAAGCTAAGACGATAATATGCTGAAATACCGTTTTAATCTATCTTGCTGATATTTAGTTTTAGGGTTTAAGTGTTTAATCTATATTCATTGCGGTCTTAGTTATAATTTGAAGTTGTGAGGTGCTCTTTCCAGTACTATAGATATTTTTACAATCATGCAGTTGGCGTATTTCCCTACTTTAAAACAAGAGGCACAGAGGGGCTGTATCGCTCAATTGGAAATGTTAGCAAAATTGAAGTTGAAATAGTTAGATGTTGGATGTTGCTGGAAGTGTACATGTATTACATGGTAAAACAGGGGTTATAATTATATGCCATTTGACAAAATCCTGTCATTCCTACAGGAAAAGGAGGATTTGAAGAATTTGCTATGTTTCCTCTATTGGACCCGCCCCTCTTCCCCATAAGGGTTAGAACTATCTTTGATACAAAATAAGGTCTCCTGTACCCAAAGATGTTTTAGACCAAATTTTGACAAAATCCCGTCATTCCTAGAGAAGAATATGGTTTTTAAAGCGATTTTTCTATTTTTCCTTTCTTGGCCCCGCCCTTCTGCCCCTAGGGGATTCAAACCCACTATTTATACAAAATTGATTTCCCTTCCCCATAGGATGCTACTGTTTAAATTTGGTCAAAATACCTTCATCCCAACGGAAAAGAGGGATATTAAAGCTATTCCTCTATATCCATTATTGGGCCCCGCCTCTCTCTGCCCCAAGGGGTTTGTTTGTTTGTTTGTTTGGGTTTAACGGCCAATCGACGGCTGTGGTCATTTAAGGCTATGGTGATTATTTTTATAAACAAACACGCGAGTAGCGAAGATAAAATCAGATAAAAATGTTCATTTTAAAAACATTCGCATTGTATGGGTAAATAATTAAAATAAAAAGGGGGTTAAAATATTAAAAGAGATAACGAATAGATGATATGCACAATGTGATATATATAACGTCAAAAGGGTAAGGTGGGTTAAAAGACATCAGAGTCTATATAATAGACCGATGTCTTTCAAATAGTTAAATAATGCCTTCGAGTCTACGGAACTGAAAAGAGTTTTCAAATCCGGGACTAAAAAGTAGTTATCACGAATGTGTTTAAAATCGGAACATTTATTAAAAAACGTTCGACAGTAAATGAAATGTCACATGCGTGGCATGGAGGTGGATCTTCTCGTTTTAAAAGGTACGAATGAGTAGGATATGAGTGCCCAGTACGGAGCCGAGCGAGGATAACTTCTCTCTACGATCTTTCCGACTGGGAATAGATGTTTTAAGTTTCGGTTGTACTTTAAAAAGTTTGTTGCTAGTCTCGTTGCCTTTAATTCCGACATGGGTCGGAATCCATAGTAAAGTTATTTAGACTTTTTTTTAAAGATACGAGATATTCAAAGAGCAAGGCTTTGCACGAGTGTGTTGTTAGGATCTCGTAATTGTAAACTCTGTAGGACAGATAGAGAGTCTAAACAAATAATTGCCTTTTAAATTGCGGTGTTCATCGATATGGTCGAGGGCCAAACCAATGGCGCATGCAGTAAAGATGGTGGCGCCGTCTGGTAGTCGATCTGAAGTGCAGGAATTAACAGTGCATTAGGCTGCTGCCACTTTCTCACCTTCTTTGGAACCATCGGTGTAAAGTTATGTATGATAAGGGTAATTCGAAATGCATTCCCGAAAGGAGGATTTGTGTTCTTCGGGCATAACACTTGATTTCCCTCGCTCATGTAATGTAAAGTTAAAATTAGGTATTTGAATGGTCCAAGGAGGAACATCAGATATGTCAAATTTAGCTTTGTCAGTCAACTTTATATTGAGTTTTTGCAGGAAAACTGAAATTCAAATACCAAAAGTCGGCAAAGGTTTTGGGTTTTGCATAAATATGTTTTGGTATTTTGGGTTATTTCCTTGGTCGAAAGCAGGATTTTTAGGGTTGCAAATTGTAATGCAAGTTTTTTCCTTCTGTCATAAAGGGATGGTTCATTCGCTTCCACGTACATGCTTTTTACAGGTGTTGTTCGAAAAGCTCCAAGTGCTGGACGTAGCCATTGGTTATGGATTGGGTTTAGCATATGCAGGTAAGAACTGCGCGCCGACCCGTATACCATAGAACCATAATACAGTTTTGTTCGAATAAGTGATCTGTATAGACGCAAAAGCATTTTACGGTCTGCTCCCCAATCATTCTGAGAAAGGACTCTTATGATGTTTAACGCCTTGGAACACGAATCCTCCAGATACTTACTATGAAAGAGAGTTTCGAATAAAAAATGAGGCCGAGAAATTTAGTCGGACAAGACATTTGATTATATCATTGATTTAAAGACCAAACAGGATGACTGATAGGATTCCACCCAGTGGAACTCCCATTTCCTGTTTAGAAACAGTTGGACCAACACGGACTTTGACGTGTCTATCTGATAGGTAATTAGATATAAAATTAGGAAGGTTTCAACGTCGTACGCCAATGTCGTGAAGACCTTTCATGATGCCATACTGCCATGTAGTAGCATAGGCCTTCTCAAGTTCAAAGAACACGACTAATGAGATGGTCACGTGTCCCACTTCTGTTTCCAAAACCACTTTGAAGAAGGGATATTATATCGTTGGCCTCAAGAAACCAAACCAGTGTTTATCATTCGTTCTAAAGTTATACATACACAACTAGTGAGAGAAATAGGACGATAGTAGTTTTGGTCAGTAGCATCCTTTCCCGCTTTTCGGATAGGTATAATTGTGGAGTTCTTCCACGAATCTGGATATTTTTCGGGAGCGTAAATTTGGTTGAATATGTAAAAACAGGCATGTAAGTGACGAGTCCGGTAAGTGCTTGAGATATTGATATGGAATATCATCAGGACCTGAAGCAGAGACCTGTGATTTTCTAAGCGAAGGTTCGCTATAACTTATTGTTTGATGATTTGAAATTTAGTCGTTCTTTTTTCTTTTTTTTTCTTTAAAGGCTGGAATTTTCGGGAGTTGTTTAAAGGGGATGAGTTTTTAGCTATGTCTTTTTGCAAATGCATCAGCAATTTCAGACTTGGACGAAACAATTTTGTTTTTATTAATGAGGTGGGAGGATGCTGACTTCTTTTATTTTCCCACTTATTTTCCGAATCATATCCCATACTTTTTTGGAGGACGTGTTTGATGATATCTTGGATACATAATCTCTCCAGCTGTTTCTTTTGATCGCCGAGCCTTTGCCCGCCAAATTTTCAAATCACTGTAGTTTGAAGCAATTGGGCAATTCAAATAGCGTCTTAGAGCAGCTTTCCGATAACAGCGTGTTTTAAAAGATTCTTCTGATAAAAGGAACTTCGTAGGTTTTGGAGCGGATTTTGGAATTGTCTTTTGGGCAATAAAAGTGAGTGTTTCAGTAAAAGGTTTGAGTCATCGAGGTTAGTAAAATATTCTGTGGTAAGCTCCTCATTACACATGTGTTGGAATTGGACCCCTTTGTCCAAAGATGCTCCAGACTAAATAAGGATAAAATCCCTTAATCCCTACGGTATAAGGATTTTAAAGGTTTTACCTCTATTTCCCCTAAAGGGCCCCGCCCCTCTGCCCCCAGGGAGACGGGACACACAGCTTTTATACAAAATTGAGTCCCCTTTATCAAAGGATATTCCAGGCGAAATTAGGATAAAATCCCTTAAATCCTACAGTAGAAGAAGGATTTTACCTTTATTATCCCTATTGTGCCCCGTCCCTTTCCCCCATGGGTGCCACACCCAACGGTTATACAAAATTGATATTTGACTGAATTTAGTAAAAATCTACTTAGCCGGTCAGGACAAATAGCGTTTTAAAGGAAACGTTGACGAGCGGACGACGGACGCTGCGCCATGGCATAAGCTCACTTGCCCTTCGTGCAGGTGAGCTAAAAACAGACACGAACTCTACCAATTTACAATAAAGTTTGACACTATATCTAACAAGATTGCTGCTACAAATCTCGATCAAATACATTGTTTGGCGATGCAAGAAAACAGCTCATATGTAAATTATGTTGAAAAGAAAAAATATCCCACCCTCAGTATTATTTCAAATTTTATACCCTCCGATGGGACGTGTCTATTCTTTCATAATACACGAATGAAAGTCATAAAGTAAATTTATAGTTTGAACCATTCTGGAATGTCAGCGTGCGCGTAACCAACAACATTTACAAGAGACGGCCGTTCTAGTGTGCCGGTCCGATCATGTTAGATGTTGTTTTTTTGCTATAGTTCGACACTATGTGCGTAAAAGACTAGTTTGAGAGAATTCCGTAGCGTAGGAAATTATTTGATGGCGAATCATTGCGCTTTTAGCAATAATGAATGGTTTTAAATGGTGTTAAACTTGCATGAGCTCCGAGACATGTGTATTGACCAACGGAAGCTAGAGCTCCATCCAGCTTACGTTTCTTTAATATCATTCTCTGGTTGAACACCCTATTTACCGAGCTCTAACTTAAACCTGGAAGCCCTATTCCCCTACAGTCCCGGTCTCTGCGCCTGTGACCCGTTTCCCACCCACGACATGAATGACCCCGGTTAATTACTTACCATTCATTGCCTGCTTTGAAGCTCAGAGATAATGTTCTTATACATATATTTTGTTTTTCTGAAAATCGAACTGATAAAACTCGGTAGACAATTCGTCGGAGGAGAGGTTCCAGATGTCAAAATGTGGACTATTATAGTTAGTTGATTTTTGATTTGATTTTAAAAGTTTTATCGATAGAATAAACGTTACTTTAATTCAAGTAACGTTATGAACTTGGGTAAATTTTTATCTTTGATCAAATAAAAATATTAAAATAACACTGGCATTGTGTACGACAGGTTCTTTTAATGCTGTAAAAACATAATGAAAAGCAGAATGAATGAAAAGTTTTGATTTTGCTAAACACAATTTCTTTCACAAAAATGTATTTAACATATGTTTGTTATAGTCTACTAAAGAATTATGCTATTTCTAAGGTATTGATGTGTTTTCTTACAAAACTTCAGTAGTGATGATCATCCTTCAACGATAACGTGCTTAAATTCCATATTTAACGGTTGTTTTCATTTTCTTGCAGGAATATAGCGTTATCTGGAGATACCCTGAACTAATGCATCATTGGACACGATGGCAGGTGCGATGCGAAATATAGCAATGATAATAACATTATATAAGTTCGTATCATTGAAAATGCCTAGTTCCATGTTAAAACATCGCAAACTAAAACAATAATACGATTTATCACATGATGTACTGTGTTATCCAGTGAATATACTCATGTCATATTTGTTTGCGTATTAGTCCATGTTATATGACCTTTCAGTCCTGTGCTTGGTTGTAAGTTTCAATATATTCAATTGTGCCGTAACCCCTAGGAAAAGTACATGACATCACTGAGTAACGCACTTGAGTCAAAGTGGCGACTTTTTACAGTTCAAGGTTGCATGAAAATTGTCGTTTTAAACGAACAAATGCCACAAATCTTGATTATGTGATAAAAAGGATCTTACACTCGTTTTCATTTCATATGACAATTATGAAACTCGTCACGATTTTTTCATTATATCTCGCCCTATATATAAACATATAATACAGTTTGTAAGAATGTATTGTAAAAAAAAATGCTTTTTCATTTTCAGGATTGTTTTGGAACCCGACTTTTTCGGCTGAACAAACAACTTATGATGTAAATGAACGGTCGACTGTTACTTTGGTATGTAAAAGTAATTCTTGGAGAGGTAAAGTAAGGTGGACTCGCGATGAAAAAACATATTCTCAAGACGACGCCAATCCAAATTACCGAATCAAATGGAACAAGAATGAGATTTCACTCACCATAAAGTGTGCCGGGGACTCCGATGCAGGGGAGTATGTCTGTGAAGTTCATTTCTCTAAAAGCTTTCAAAAGAGTGCAGCAATTACACTGAGTAAGTCAATGTTTTGATTGTTTCTATGAATGGCGATATATAAGAAATTGGATTGATATTTTACTCTTTCAGTAAAATGTTTCATTGTCAATTTAGGCACCAGTTTAAGAGGTGCTTATGTTGAAACTTGATTACTACTTTTCAATTGCATATTTTTTTCATCCAAATAAAAGATCCTATTTTAAAGGTATTTTGATAAATCAACATAAATCATCCTAACAATCATCGAATCCATTTTTTCAATGTGAGAAGTGTATGATATCTTAAAAACAAACAACTTTGTGTCATTAGAAATAAAACAATTACATGCATGCATATCATGCATTTATTCCTCCTCTATAAATTATCCGAAATTGCAAGTGCTGTTGATGTAAACAGGCAAAATTTCTTGACATCAAATTGACCTGGAAGTTAGGTCAATAAGTTTTATCTGTTTTAAGATTAATGAAGAAGCGATTATTGTCTCCATGTTTAGCACACCTGCCCGAAGGCCAAGTGAGCTTATGCCATGTCGCAGCTTTCGTCGTCCGCACGTCAATTTTTCCTTTAAAAAACCTTTAGTCCTGAAGCTTCGTGGATTTTAACTATAACTATATTTTGACTGGAGTATTCTCAGCCAAAGGGGGATTTAATTATGTATAACTTGTGCCCCCCCCCCCCCCNGATAATTTTGGAACAAAATGATGTATATCAACCATGTATATTGGTAGATAAGGTTTCAAAACTTAAGAGTTTGGTCTGAGAGTCGGGGCATTTTTTTTCTAACTTAGACATTATGGAGACCCCCAACCCTATTACCGTGTGAACAATTGCTGGACATCAACAGAGAAACACAATTATGACAAAAGAATTGACTCTGGCTCCACCCTTAAGACTTGATTTCTGAGCAACAACTTTGAAACAGTTGAAATACCCTCACCATAACAATATAATATATACCATTGCTAGGCATCAAGAGACAAACTCAATCATGATAGTTATATTGACTCTTTGGTCTGGCCCAACCCTTAGGGACTTATTGTTTGGGACATAACTTTGAAATGGCTGAGATCCCCACCCCATAACCATATAGACCCGAACACGTTCGCTGTTCCATTTTCAGCGTACCATTTGCAGATCACTTGCGTACCACTGTTCTTTTAATTCACTAGCATGCAAAAATTTAAAAAAATCGTTATTACAGTAGCAAAATGAGCCACAGGAAAAGGGTTTCCCTTAAAATTGGTAACATCGAAGTATTCACTAAAAAACCTTAATTGTACTTAACTCTTCCTAAAAACGCAGAAACTAGTATCGAGTGTGACTTACAGCTTCACAACGCTCCGCATGCCCCGAATGAGATCGCGTATCTGGTTTTGTGGGATAGCGTTCCACTCAGCTACCAAAGCTGTTTCTATCTCCTGGAGCGTTCTTGGCTGAACATTTCTGGCAGAGAGAGATGTCTGCAGCATGTCCCACATATGCTCGATGTGATTTAAATCCGACGAGATGGCTGGCCAATCCATTTGTTGAATAGTCCCTTGCTATAGATACTGCTCAGTCATCCTTGCTCTATATGGCCTAGCATTAACGTCCATAAGGATGAAGTTAGGGCCGATAGCGCCAGCGTACGGTCTGACATAGGTATCAAGGATTTCATCGCAGTAAATCCGGGCCGTAACGGTACCAGTATGAAAGACATCGATGTCAGTTTTCCCATGAAGGCTTATGCCTCCCAACACCATCACTGAACCTCCGCAATATCGGTCATGTTCCACAACGTTTCCTGCCTGGAACCTCTTCCCGTGTCTCCGTACTCTAACACGCCTGTTGGTGAAGTCGAGACAGTATCTGACTCGTCAGTTAAAAGAACCGATTCCTATTCCTTGTTTGTTTATTTGTTTGTTTGTTTGGGGTTAACGGCCCATCGACGGCTGTGGTTATTTAGGGCCATGATTTTTTATTTTATTTTATTTTTTTAAACAAACATGTGAGTAGCGAAGATAAAATCAGATAAAAAGGTTCATTTTAAAAGCATTCGCATTGTATTTGTAGATAATTAAAAAAGGGGGGTTAAAATAAATGATAAGGACTATGTGATATATATAACGTCAACAAGGGTAAGGTTGGTTGAAAGAATCAGAGTCTATAGAATAGACCGATGTCTTTCAAATAGTTAAAAAATGCCTTCGAGTCCACGGAACTGAAAAGAGTTTTCGTATTCGGGACTTGAAGGATTTGAAAGTAGTTATCACGAATGTGTTTAAAATCGGAAATTCTATTAAAAATGTTCAACTGTAAATGGAGTGTCACATGCGTGGCATGAAGGTGGATCTTCTCGTTTTAAAAGGTACTAACGAATAGGATATGTGTGCCCAGTACGGAGGGCGATCTGTCCGACTGGGAATAGTTTTAAGTTTCGGTTATACTTTAATAAGTTTGTTGCTGGTCTCGAGAGACCAGCGTCGCTGCTAATCGTTTTGAATGCCTGTACGAATAATAGGTTTTAAATCTGTATGTGGTAGTTTGATATTTGTTTGTTGGAGATTTAATGCATTTTTTGTTTCCCTGTCAACAAATCGTTGCCTTTAATTCCCACATTGCTCGACAGAATTGAGACTCGTCAGTAAAAAGAACTGATTCGCATTCCTTACGAGTCCAAATGCTGTGAGCTTGGGCCCAATCTAATCGATCCCTTACATGGCGGGCAGTTAAGGATACTCGTATTGCTGTTCTACGTGACCTTGAATCAGCATCATAAAGACGGTTCGTAATTGTCTGAGTGGCTACCCGGGTACCAGAAGCATTTACGAAGTCATTTCGTAAAGCTGTGGCAGTCTGGAACTTGTGATGCCGTGCCTGTATGAGCAAAAAGCGGTCTTGGCGCTTTGTTGTAGTCCTATAACAATCTCCAGCATGACGTCTGGAAGTGTTTCCATTAGTTTGGAAACGATTACACATTCGTGCCAACACATTTGCGACACCTCAAGGTATGTTGTAATATGACGTTCAGACATGGTAGCTTGCAGCATTTTGATGCCCCTATTCATTTCACCGTCATTTAACCGTTGTCTGGTTCGTCTTGGTGCCATATTAAAACGAAAACACGCAAAGAATATTCATCATGTTGATTTTTTTAACAATTTCAACAAAGCCTTGCCTAGCCTAGCTTAGCTTCAAAAAGGGGTGTACGCGTGGAAAAGCGTGCACGCACTTTTATGGTTAACTGAACACACCCTCACAGAGCGACTTGATTTGTTTTCTTCAAAATATAGCCGATCCTTAGCAAAATGTGAGTAGTATATAATATGCATGCAACTCTTATTTCTTAATCGATGCTTTAACATTTCAATAGTATTGTAGTTGTTCATCCTCTTTATAAAGGCAATTATAACGAACCTGATTAAAATAATTGATGTCATATTTGCTGCAATAATAAGAAAATATGAACATGGGCGTGTTATTCCACTTTTGTTTTAGCAGGCATTCTGATAAATGTGTATAGCTCATAGGAAGGTAGGATAAGATGACTTAGAATAAGACTAGCTGCATCAAGGATAGGATAGGCGAAGAGGTTGCCTATGTCTTATACGGGAAGAGGTCCGATAACTATGTAAACAAATACGTTCACGTTATCATACTTTTTGAATTGAAGACACTTAATTTCTTAATTAACTACAAAACAGGTATGGAGTTAAATATTTCATGTTAATAATAAATACAAATGTTAAAAATCAGCAAACAACGGAATTAGCAACAGTTAGGTCAGTTCTAGAAACCTCTTATTTCGTTAAATGCGATTAATCTTTCTTTTTTCATTTGTAAATATCCTTTTGTAAGAACCTATCGCTTTACGTAAGCCAAATTATAGAAACACAAATACGAACCTCATCCATGGAAATTAATCATTCATTTTAATATACTATTTATCAGCATTTTAACCACTACTGGCAATAGGAATTTAACACCGGATTATTCGTGATGACACCATACTTTACACAACTATGACATTAGTATAAAGAACATATATCAAAATTCAGTTAACTAAAATATATGATATTTGCGTATTTTCAGTTATATTACATTTTTCGCTCATAAAAATAGTATCGAGCAAGTGTTACTATTGAAACAACATAGCATTAAATGTATTGGGCAAGCAGCGGTTCAGGTGTTATACCATATATTTCTTGAGGTCGGTGTCAGACGTACATGTTTACCTGTAGATACACTTGTGATCCGATTATATCTAATTGTGCGAGTAAACATTTACTTGGTACTAATTTGAACTATATGCTGACTTTTGTTAAGCTGACTACAATTTTGATGATATGAGTTTTGAACTATGTAATATGATATTTACAGTCTATTTAAGTGGCACAGCCTTGCAAGGCAAACATCATAATGTACGTTGGTGCATCATGTTTTGTTTGCTTACAAATCTTTGTCATTTATATCAATTGTTTTGCATTTCGTAGTTCGGTGCTTAAAGAAACATTACATAGGATGATATGGGCTCATTACTGCGCTGAACGAGGGTTTATTTTCAAACAAAATTTCCCGTTATTTATGTAGGAACCTTCTATGTGTCTTTTCATTTCAAAGGCCATAAAATGTGTAACGTCATCATAAATTTGACATGACCAGTTCAATAAATTGTTTTGAATTCTCAAACGGCTTTTGTTTACTTGAGGCGTTCGCATTTGACATGACCAGTTCAATTTTTTCAATGATCTTTCGAAAACCTCAACCTTATATGATTTTATAAATATGCATCCAATCCGTTCATAAACTTTTAATACAAGAAATACGAACATCAGTAATATAGAGAAATGAAGAACATATTCATCGCTACATAAATGAGGGGTTTTTGTTTCGTTTTCTTTTTTCAGATGTGTGGAATATTCTCCGTTATCCAGAGGAGAGGCAAACAGCGCAGGTAGGCGGGTCGATAACACTTCGTTGTGAGGTTGAACACCCAAATACCGAGTTGTTAAAACACACATACTGGACGCACAACTCAAAAGAGATAAACAAGAACGACGTACGATACGATGCAACACTGCTGCCCTCTCCCAGTCTGAAAATACACAAAGTGAACGACGATGATGCTGGGAGTTATGAATTCAGAGTCAAAGGATCAGCTTACATGTACGCATCTCATTCAAATTCAAGAAGATGTGTTTGTTTAGGTAAAATGTTCATTTCAACCCTACATTTGTTTTGCACAATAACGATCTTAATTGAGTAGTAGCACAGTTCCTTATATACACACTTTTTTATTATTTGATTTTAATCAGTACTCCTCTAAATTTTGAAGTTGCGTAAAGGCTTAGTTTGTTTTGAACACAAACAGGAATTAAAAACGTCATGATTAATTTTATCACTAGGAATATCAAACATATCTTTAATTGTATAATAACTAAAAACACGTATATTTGATATGTATGTCAAACAAAAACAAGGTATGTTTTCGGAAGCATAGACCTACATTTTCCAGCGGTCTAATGACAGAAAAATGCGTGAAAAGTTAGCAATTAATCGAAAATTAAAAACGTGTTTTCCATTCATCAACAGATTTTAATGGAAACATATTAAATGTTCAACATATTCATTATTTCGGTTTTTGCTTATTTATGGTTTAAAGTTAAAATCAAATTTTCAGCAACGTATTATTTGAAAAGTGGTACCTTCCGAATTTGGAGAACTTAAAATTTTAAACATCCTTCGTAGAACCATACAGAATACAGTCGTAATGGGAATGTTTCTTTTAAATAATTAAAGTAATTGTTCATTATTTGTAATGTACTACATACCTATGAAATATATATCCTATCAGAAACTTGTCTGCTTTATTCATGCTGCCAAATCTCATAACAAATTCAAAGAACACATTCGTTCTCTAAGTGCTAGATATATTCTAGGATATATGACACAGTTTATAACTTACTCTGAGGAAGAAATCGCGAGAATGATTTTTATTTCTGGTTGACCATAAAACGTATTACATATGCAGGAAATACTCAATTTCTAGCTGATTACATTTTTTAATTAAAAGGGGATAGTAAATTAAATTTGCTTCCATTTACGTTGTAATCAAGAAATACTGTTGCATGGAAAACAAGTACAGACAAATAGTATTTTATTGGATATTCCATCACAGGACTAAACGAATAAGGGCATTATAAAAAGGTTAAACATTTTACTGTGTTAAAATATAACAAGCCGACCTTTGTTTCTCGCCATTTCTGCTACTTGTTTTTGAGCCTAAGATAATGAATTCATTAGTTTTGCTGTATAAAACAGCTACTGATAGTAGCTTTTTGTAATTAAACCACTTATGTTGAGTTGTAGAAGTTCATCCAAAAGTCATTCCCTTAGAGAACAAATATGTTGCACACCTGCACAAAAAAATCACATTGGATTGTGAAACGTACGGAGCAGACAGCTGCATGTGGAAACATAATGCCGATGTAATATCTACTGGTAACCGATATAAAATCAACGATGACATGTCACTCACGATATCACCAGTAAGGCAGTCTGATGAAGGACGATATGTGTGCGAGGTAACAAACAGGGCGGGGATAAGTGCGACTAGCGAGGAAATAGAACTTTGTAAGTATTTTTTTGTGCTGAATAATATCGTACATATACCACTTCCAAAACGGCAACTGTGCATTAGGAACCTTTTCTCTGATATGACTACACCTGACAGATTAATGATTTCTAAAAAAGACACATGTATCTTGTATAAATTTCTTTTGACATGTTTTGACGGTTATGATTCTTTTTCAAATGTCAACACTCATATATAAAGAAAAAGTGTTGTTTCTTTTCCATGTCTACAAAAAAGAAAGAATATGCAGTATTATATTTGTATCTATAAATTTTGGAAAAAAGTAGATTCCGCAGACTTCATCCTTTTCAATATATGAAAAAAACTGAAATTTGTTCTCTGTTTGATCAGTTAAAATCGAAAATGTACCAGATAGAAAATTTAATCCAGATCTCCGAACACGAAACGGTTTCTTTTATAGTCTGAGCTATCTTATCATATCGAAAACCAACTTCAGAAACTAAAGTGTTGCTCAATTGTTTATTTCTAGGTACGATGCCTTCGGACTACTCAAAGCTGCCTTCAGAATACTCCCAATTGTCAGAAACGCAGGTAATATTTTCCACAATATTCTTTCACTAGATGCAGTTATTATGACAATACATGTGACATCAAAGGCTTAATCAAAGGAATATTAGTCAATTTCTCCTCTGGGTAACTATGGAAAGTCTTTTTTTCTCATTGCACGTTTTCTTGAGTGTCTATGTGTATATTCAAGTTGCTCATACTTTCCCTTAGTTTTATATATTTTGAGTTCAAATTACAATTTTGTAGTCACCTCAGGATTTTCTTTGTTTTATTAGCATGACTGTTACATACTTGTTGTTTATTTTGTATACATATAATTTGCCAAAAATAGATATAAATAAGTATAAGCAAAGAAGTTTTGTCAAATTTTCAAAGCCATCCGCCTCAATCAGCCATTTTCAAAGACAGAAACATGAACAATCACATATCACAACTATTACTAGGAGATGAACAGTTACTACGAAGCAATACCACGACTTTAATATATAAACAAAACTAGAAAATGAATGCCACCACCGTCATGTGAAACTAGTTTCAGTGTTAATAATGTTCTATAAATAGTTATAACGACTTTGATCTTCACACCCTGAATATGTATATAGCTTCGAACACTGTAACACAAACATGTCTGAGGTATTTTCTTTCTTAATCTTTGTATACATTTTATGGCGGGGCATAAAAACAGCTATCACTTATGAAATATGATGATATTATCGCACATTACCTCGGTTACCTTGCAGACATGTTTTCACGTCGTGTTACACAAACAACTATTATTATTGATTTTCTTCCCATCATTATTCATATTTTTGACACTAATTCACGATTTTATTTTGATAATAATAACAATTATAATACTTCGAGATTTTTATATACCGTTTTATCACAACCTAGTTCGAAGGTCGTCTCAAAGCGGTTCACCAATTATTATCCATAGTTATAGGGCTTTAAAGGGCAAGCAGGCAATATCTTCCTCACCTCACTGAGCATACAACCGGTGCTGCCATTTCGGCGCTCACAGTTAGCATTCAAAAGTTCAAGCGGAGTAAAGTATCTTGTTCAAAGATACAACACAGTATCGTGACGTGACGCGAACCCGCAACCCTTCGGTCACGAGCCCAGCGTCGTACTACTAGACTACCGGTTTTACATCTTTGCCTTTATACATATGTGCATATCTATTTAAGTAATACGCATTCAACGAACATTTGTTCTTCGGATTCAGTACCGGTATTTGCTCATACTGTCATTATAACTTATGAGATATATAATCGACTTTTTTAATGTGTATCATTCATCGTTATATATATATTTATATATTTAAATTTACTGAGTTAACCTGAACAAACAAATTTGTATAAATATTAAGCAAAAAAAACTTTAAAATTATGTTTCTTGTGTTAAGAGTATAATTTTATTTCTTCGCAAAAGGGATGGACGTTTATACCATAATTGTTGTTCGTTGATGGCATAGTACAATAATAATAATAAGCTATTTGATAACTATTTTTTTACATAGTTAAAGACAAATGAAATGGAAAAAATAAATATCTTGATGAAGGAAATTCCTGATAACAAGACCGCCTGTATTTATTTCATTGGACGTTATGGTGCTGGCAAATCAAGCGCTATTAGCTCATTTCACAGTGTCAATCGAGGAAGGATTACAACAATTGCTCTCCCAGGAGGAGGAGATAGTTCATTTACGAGAGAGGTACTATACTACTAATTGACAAGCTGAAAGTTCCACATTGATAAAAAAAAATAAAAATCATACAACTTTACTAAATGTTAAAATTCAAGCAGTAGTAATACATGTACATGTGCGATTGTAGATAACATATTGCATATATCACGAGTATAATGTGCAGATTTAAAGGCATGTGAATATCTGCGCAATAAACATATGTTTGTGATTCTTGATGAATACATTTGTTAAATGCTATTTTTACATACGTATATATTCAAACAATATAATAATGTTCAACGGTATTCCTGAATGATGAATAACAAATAAAAATATGTAGATGAATAATTTAGGCACATATTTTATTGTAGATACACGTGTATCCATATGAATTATGCCGAAAAAAGGAGAAATTAGAACATACATTTAGACTGATTGTGCACAATGATTGTGATTGCGCATCATAACACCATGATATTAATTCCAGATAACTTGATTTGGTCCATGTTTTGTTATTTGTTAATTGTTTGCTTCTGCATATGTCTCATCTTTTTCTATAGCAGTAAAATCAGCATCGTGAGTTTTAGAAGATTGGTAATTCTTAGGTTATAAATTAGAGGTTTTTTTTTGCCTTTTGTTATGCGAGAAAACTAAATTCAACCGCTTAATTAGTATATATACAATTATGACTTGTCTACTTCTGTAAAATGGGTGTGTAAACTTGACTTTTCATGTAGTATCTCTAAATTCCATCAAAATATCTTACTAACAAATAATAAAATTGATCTTTTACGTCGATTTCGTATCCTTTTATAACCTCGTTATTTAAATTTCACTTCAAAGGTGTCCTGTACTGAAATATTCGGAGGGAAGGTTAAGCTTTACGACTTACCTGGTTATGAGGGAACCAGACAATTTGATGGTAAACAGTTCAGTTGCATATCAGATGACACAACAAAAGCCAATTCAGAGGTAACTAATTTCATTCTTTGTAAATTTCATACTTCACAGAAATGTTACCCTTTCAAATTGTTAAAATCATATTTGTCACTACAGTATTTGCCACGCAGTTGCTACTGGATCTTTGAACGTTGTCAGGAACAATAGTGTTGGCCAACATTATCGCAATTATACTTTATTTTGTAATAAAAAGCTTAAGACTTGCTTATATCGTGTCCCAAAACGTTAAAAGAACATTAAACAATAGCTCGTGACCCAAAAATAACGTAAACCTAAACTTGTGGCAGTTTAAATTTGATACTCACTGAGAGCAGTCCATTCACTCTACTGGTATCGTCGTATATCTTATATTCCCTTTTTCACTTTTCTGTCAGGGCGATCCACCGAAGTGTATTGTCTATGTCAAGGACTGTTCAAATCAGCTAACAGAAGAAGAGCTTGAAATCATGAAGCAGGTCCATGACTATGTCAAACCAAGAGGTATGTAATATTTTTCTCTAGCCAATAAAGACATCCGGTTCATTCGTAACTCTGTGGCCGTCATTAAAACACAGGTTAAAACAATTATCTTAAACCTTTTATCATTGTGTCATTAACGAGTAGGATGTTCTGTCAAACTTAATGGAAAATAAAAAAGTATTAAAGGTATTTTCAACCAATCATGACGAAAGAAAAAAGACGATTCATGCAAATGACATTTCGCTCTCTGCTTGGTCATCCAACATGACTGTCGTTGCCTCTGATTGGCCAAAATTAAGATATTGACCGATTTCGCTCAAATTTGATATGTACAACATGTGCTTTATTGTATTGCAAACACTCCTGCAGCTTCTGATTTCTGATGGTTGAAATAGTCGTCATTTACTGGCCTCTGATTCGTTAACATATTGACCTTTTTTATATAAAGTTCGGAAGTAGGTGTATAATTGTATTGCAAACAATACTACAGCTTATTTTGTTTTCTGGTTGGACAAGATGACTTCCATTCCCAGGCTTCTGATTGGTCGAAATTTAGATATTCGTCGATTTTAATTAGATTTTGTTTGAAGGTATATTATGCCATTGCGAACAAAAAAGTGACTTCTGTTGGCTTCATTTACGACTGAAGGTGATTTTTTGAGGATTTTGTTACAACCGCCGCTATAGTTATCACTTTTTAAATGTTATCATACCAATACTAAACCAATATCATGTTATGTTGGTAAGATTTGTTAGCGTTTACCATTGTGAACTGTTGTCATAGATTTCTTGACACTTTTATTTCCTCAGATAATCTTCAAATGGTGACCTTGCTGACCAAGATAGATAGGGCAAGTCAAAACGCGAAAACGATACCAGAAATGTTGATCAGCCAGGAATTATGCACAGCAGTAGAACAGATCAGTGGAAACGTTCAATTACCAGTGAACTGCATCTTTGCGATGAAAAACTATCATAGAGAAATGGACAGTGATCCTGCGATAGGCTGGCTCATTCTTTATACATTTCGCAGTCTCTTGGATAGGCTGCTTGATATTCATGAACGCCTCAGGCTAGAGAAAGTTGTTCATACATAAACCGCAAACGGGAAAAGCAATAACATGCAACTGAGCTGTTAAAACTTTAAAAACTTTAATCATAACAAAAATGATATCCTTTTAATTTAAATGTGCTTGTTACATATTCAGCCAATTTTTTTTTGAAAATGCGTTTATTCATTTCCTAGATATGCAATTTCATGTATTATGTGAAATTCGGAAGTGTTGATTATTCGTTTCAATTACATGTGTATATATATTTTGTACGTACTTTATTACATGTATAAATTATGTGATAATAATTGATATTTCAGTAAAAATATGGACTTTGATTTATTTGATAAGCGTAACTTTTCCACATATTTAATGTTGTTTTCATTTATTTTTTTCTGATATAGTGTTATATAAAAATTGACCTAACGTAATACACAATTTGAAGCACAACCGAAGTAATTGACGAGATGTGTAAACTCGACTTAAATATTACGTCGTAAATCAAATTTAATATCGTGTATCATAATACAACTATTCGTACCATTTTAGTTGCATAAATAAAAAAAAGACTCAAAAAATCTCATTTGGTCGAATTGGATATGGTAACAAAGGTGGGGGAAGGGGCTGGAGGGTTAGCCTATAGAAATTATCATCATCAGCTTTATCAGGTAATAGTACTTATTAAGATTGTATTATATTTTGTTGCATCTTTAAAAAATAAATAAAGTTTTAATAGCCAATTAATGATTTGACAGTGCCCCATTATCAAACAATACGAAATATTGCCTTGGTGATTATAAAGGTGGAGTATAAAATGTTCTGGGGTGGGTGTTGCGGTATCTGTGCTGTAGCATTCAAGTGAGGTGGCACTATTAATGATACCGTGTGAAGCATGGTCCCACTACAGAGAGAACACAATACATCTCCAGCGCACACACAGGCATACACACATAGGGAGATATTAGCCAGGTGAGATAGGACTAGTAGTTAGCGCCTGATAAGGCAGTTCCTGCGGAATCCTCAATATTGTATCGATTAATATATAAGCTAATTGTATTGACTGTATATCTATGTACTGTAAAGCGCTTTAGAGTGGCTTATGTTAGCTAGATAAGGCGCAATATCAAATGCTGTATATTATTATTACATGTATTATAAATTAATAGGAGACATTGCCATGGGAATTATTTAACAGTACGAGCTATTGCCATGGAAATTATCAAACAATACGAGATATTGCTATGGAGATACAATTCATGCAACAGTTCATCAGTAAGAAAAAAGACTGAAATTCAAAGTTAAACCGTCTGATTTTCATTAAATATTGAATAGAAACACAAATATATCATTTTATTGCTCAAGTCAGTATGTATATGTATGAGTTATTGACAAATAATTTGTAAATAAGTGATAATATTAGAATTTACTGATTCTGTGTTTTTTATGTTATTGATGCTATACCAATTTATTATCATAAGTTTATTCTGACTGGTTTTCAAAATAATTCATGAATGAAAGAGACATCAATTGATTTTTATCTTTTGTTTTATTCATTTTGAGACTCTTTGTGATATTTTTCTTCTTTAACATTTGCTGTGTATTAATTTTATAACGGTTGTCTTGAGCTGACCGCTTCATATCACTTATTGATATTTAAGCATTGAACTGTTTTTGTATGGTATTTATGATCTATTTGAATGGCATTCAAATAGATCATAAATACCATACAAAAACAGTTCAACACTTACGTTTTCTCTGCCACTTATGTTCTTTTTTAACTTACAGTTGATATTTAAAATTTAAAATTCCCGCCTTATCGACAGTCCACATAAATTCGTTCAATAGTTGGAACAGCGTATTGTCGCTTGCTGATTGGCAAACAAAGTAGTTCTTCGAAGTTTTAACAAACATTTCAATTTTATTCGACAATTCAGTATCAATACAATTGCGTATGATATGTATATAGGGTGTTTAAGTTTATCAATAGAACTCTGAGCTGAAAGTTAGATTTGAAATTGCTTCGATTTTTCCCCGAAACAACTTTTGCACATGGATAAATACAGTGAACACCGTAAATCCGACCCTGCCCTCCACGAGGATGTTAGTTTTGGAAGTTTAATGAGCAAAGAGAAAAGTTCGAATTTGTGAAGAATCCAGGCGTGAATTTATTTTTTGATTGTATGGGAATCTGAATACAGTCGGTAGATTCTATAACAGCCTCGTTATTTGACATGTGGTCAGATACTGAGGAAACCGTGGCTTCGAGACGCGTAAAACTGATAGTGTTTGAGGTGAGTGATCTTGAGACGGAGCACGGGTTATTTAGATATGTCTGAAATGTTTATGTGTGCTGTGACTCATATCAGTAGGTCTGTTACATATGTGTCAGTAGGTCTATAGAATATGTGTATTTCAGACATTTGTAACGAACCCCTGTGCAGTTTAACAGACGATATTTCTGATAAATTTCAAGTGTGTTAAAATTGTTACCATTGCCGGCATTGGTGATTTCAACCGATGTGCATTTTGTACGATATTGCAGACCTTTGTCTTGTTTTTGTTGTAGTAAAAGTTTATTTTTTTTTACCTTTTTTTTTTCTTTTGCACATAGATTTACAATTACATTGTCAAGTCTCACAGTGTTCAGCGATACTTCAACAGCCGTCATTTGTATTTATATTGGATATTGTAGTTCCGGTGAGTGTTGTTTTAATACGCTAAGAATTGTGTCTCGTGCTGCATGGTAATTAAAGTCCGTTCAACGACACACAGCTTTCAAAGAGGCTATATAGTGACAATGTCATGCACCTGTAAATACATTACTTTGGAGACATTAAGTTGCATAAATGTTCTGTAAAATAATCACAAACACTGTAATGTCTACTGTTGGTTTTGCTCCTTTCGAGTTGAATTGATTAAAAATAATGGAATTAATAAAGCATCTCATAATTTTTTTTTTTAGTTCTAATCTTTTAACATTCCCATATAACATGCTTGATAGCGTCTATCATATGGTCGTACAGTATATCCCCGCTAGGTCGCATGGTCCAGATCAATACTTGTAGGTAAAAGAATACATGGTATTCGACAATACGAAATTAGATCGACATCTTCATGTCTAAATCGGATAGGACGGCATATCAGCTGGGGTTCTGCTAATATACAAAAATTATCTGCAAAACTTCGGTTTTGACCCAATTCTCTACCCTCGGGAATTTCCAAAGAAGACATATTTATATAATGATTAACTTATTTTCCTCCGCTTTTTCAGCGACATGTTGTAAAACAAGACATACTCATTTCATATACAACACTAAATATAATATTTATTAGATACCGTAAATTTCTTACACAAAAACCGAGGCCATATTCATGAAGAAATGTCACTAAACGACGGCAAGATTGTCACCGTCAGTCAACGTCATTTTGACGGAGATTCGAAACAACATCCTCACCTGATTGTTACGACAAAAACGTAAAGATCGCTGAGGGCAACCATGTGGGATACACGTACTAGCACGGGATACACGTATATCCTACACACGTGAGGGTTAGAGAAATAATGTCACTATTTCAGATCAACCGATATTACAATATCGATAGTCAGTTAAATCTGCATATACTCTATTTTATTCTTTACTTGAACCAATGTAGCAATAATTGATAATTACTTGAAATGACATTCTTTATGATTTCTTGAGTACTTTATACATCAAATGAAAACTATTGTCTAATTTCTTCTTGCCTTTTTTCAATCACCCAATTAGCATCGACCATTTTAACAGAAGAACGTAACACACACATTTTTGAAGGTTAATGATAGATAAACGTATTTAATGTCATTGAATCCAAGAATAGTAGAATGATATGCACATAAATATCATGAGATCAAAATATAACTTTTTCTCTCATTTCCGTGTGTGTAAGATAGAGATGTCCAGTAGAAGAAAGGGATGTAGGAAATTTCTATCTTGCACCCCATTTCACGTGACGTGACGTCACAATGGCTCAACAATCACGTGACTTCAGTAATTTGGAAAATGCCGATCCCGCAATGCGGAAAAGGCAGCGTGATGAAATTAAAACCTTTTAAGATATATTTACTGTACACATTATAATTGGTTTGGTTTAGTATTGTTTAATGTCCTATCAACAGCTATGGTCATTTAAGGACGGCCTCCCCTGTGTGCAAGAAGCATGCGTGTAGTGTATGCGTGTGTGTTTTTTGAGGCTGCGATATGTTCGTGTTTGTCTCCTTGTGATAGCGCGGAACCGATGCCGACGTTATAGTGCTACCTCACTGAAACATACTGTTTAAGACACCCTGCAGTACACCCCATCCGGTCACATTATACTGACAACGGGCGAACCAGTCCGCCCACTCCTAAGTTGCTGAGGATTAAGCAGAAGTAGAAACTACCATTTTTACAGTCATTGGTATGTTTTGGCCAGGGCACATAACCTAAAGCCTTCCTCACAGGGGCGAACTAAAGGCCAAAAATGAGACATTGTCAAAGGAGACATTAGTAAGAAGAAATTTGTTTAGGAAGAAGAGAAAAGATAAGATCACAAATTTAATCGCCTCTTACGATCATGCAATGGGGGCAGCAGGTACAACTCTTACTCCCTCCAGGGACTACACGTTAGAAAGATGAGATTATTTTTTTCTGCGAAAACTTTGTTTGCAAATATGGGGTATGCTTAATCGCGCTAACGGATTCGTTCTTGTCAAAAAAAAAAAACAGGGGAAAATTGATATTTTCAAAATGGAATCCAGTCCAAAAGCATTTTTATGGGGCTATTCGCAAAGTCTAATAAAGAAAATGGGGCTTAACACATCTATTGCAGCTGAAACCCAGCAGAATGACTAATATATTTGATATATTTGTATAGTACTCCTGAAGATAAAGACGAAAATTGAAGACTTTTAACTTCTGAACTTAGAGCGATGGGACACAATTTAAACAGTTACCAGTGAGACGGAAAATAAAGGTCACAGTGACCTTATAGTCAAAGATAGATGGAAACGACATTACAGCATATTATTGTCTTAACATACTGACGACATCCCGTTTCTACTTTTCTTTATGTGTGATAAAATCACATTATGCAAAATAAAAACAAAAAAACAGCTAATACACAGCAAACATTTTTTTCAATTAAACTTTTGATTTGAAACATTCCGTAAAAACGTTCGGTGTTACATATTTTTATAACATTTTTACATTAATTGGGGTTTTCATTTCATTATCAGTT